TGTACCTCTGGTGCAAATTACTGACCTCTGTCATCATTTTAAGTGGGGGAACTTGCACAATCGGTGGCTGACTAAATACTTTTTTGCCCCACTGTATGCTGTGTCTTTGAAAGAGCCTACAGCTTTAATTTCCTCTTCCTCCTGCAGGTTGGCTGCAGTAGGGGACACCTCGTTACTTTTGCCTGTGGAAATGTTTGTTGTGTTTGTGGTGGTAAGGAAGAGGTCTAACAGGGTGCAAAGCTAAACAGGGGTGAAGCTGAGTCTGTAAGGAGCTGTCTCTCTGTAGACACTTTCTGATGGTGGCTACTGCCTCAGTTGTGAAATGTGAGCTGATAGTTTAAAATGTGGACCTTGCTGATGAAGTCCGTGGAGAGTGATGAGTAGTGTTTCCCATAAGTAGAATTTGTGGTTTATAAGGTCAGATTATTTTATCATTATACTGAACTTAACTGAAAAAAGTCTAAACATAAACTGTTATTACCTTATTATCATGTCATTGATGTTTTATTCCAAACAGATCAGTGTTGGATGTATGTGGCCGAGACACTAAAACCTTAACATAAAGAAATGAATGTGATGTGATACATAACTGTGTTCACAGTTTCTTCTGGTAAAATCATCTTCTTCTTGTTTTATAGAAAGATCATGGGAGAACCTGTAGAACAACCACCAACCAAAGCATCAGCAGGTAGGAAATCTGTGGTTTGTCTGATGAGATGTATGGATGTACATGAGGTAGATTCCCTCTTTGTAACATTTTTTTTTTTTTTAGAAAAAAAAGATATTCTGGCATTTGTTAGAAAAAAAATGTCAGAACATTTAGACTTCATTATATATATGCTTGCCTTTAAAACAAACAGTCTCTATCGTTATAAGTACATCAAAATCAAATGTTTCGAAACATGTCTTAATCTTTTTTGGCACATTTTTATAACATGAGAACTGCCAATCTTGTCTGCCAAGCTTGGCAGAAAAAGCAACTGGACTTTTTGTTTTTTACTTTGAACCCACACACCCTAAAATTCAGTATTTGAATATGAGATGATGAAGTTTTAATTCAACAGATTTAGAGTATTTTTCACATGATTGAGATTAAGATGCATGTTTATGTCTCTTTATTCTTCCTGTAGAGGAGGAGCTTGCCAGCGTGCGGTCAGCCTTTGTTTGTAGGGTGTCACCAGAAATCCTCACACAGCTCCTTGAAGATCTTGTAAGTGACGGTGTCTTAAATGAATTGGAGAAAGAATCAATACTGGAAGGGAACCCAGTCAGAGCAGACAAGGCACGCTGCTCCATCGACTCAGTGAGGAAGAAAGGCGACCAAGCCTGCAGGATAATGATCAGACATCTTCAGAGTATAGATCTCTCTCTTTTTTCTCAGCTGCGTTTATACTCTGATCCATCTGCTCAGCAAGGTGAGGTCATGTATCTCTATAAGAATGGTCACCACCAGGTTTGTTGCGATGTGAAAGTGTGAAACTTCAGAATTCATTGTAAGAAAAGGGGGAGGAAAAGAAAGAAAAGCCATAGTTGTTTGACTTGAATGCTTCAGGAAAAAAAATGAAAACAAAATGCCATATTTATATAGAATAATGTAAAGCATTTATTTTTGTGTCCAGAAATGGTTTACATTATCTGTCTTCTTTCTAATTTACAGCAGGAATTATATTTGAATACTGAATGTCTGTCAGGTGCTTCTTTTAAATGGTGAACATAGCAGTAGGGATACATTATAACACTTGAACATTGTACTATTTGGTAACAAAGTTATTTCTTTTGTTTTTTTTTTCTGTTATTTCTTTCTTTTCTTTTTTAAATTCAGATGTTCTTCAGGATTGTCAGCCTAAATTCAAGTCTAACCTGAATAGGAAGTTCCAGTGTGTGTTTGAGGGGATTGCTAAAGCAGGAAACCCAACCCTTCTGAATAAGATCTACACAGAGCTCTACATCATAGAGGGAGGGACTGCAGAGATCAATGATGAACATGAGGTCAGACAAATTGAAACAGTATCCAGGAAACCAGACAGGCCAGAAACAACAATAAGAAAAGAAGACATCTTTAATGACTCACCTGGAAGAGATAAACCAATCAGAACCGTGCTGACAAAGGGAGTGGCTGGCATTGGGAAAACACTCTTAACACAAAAGTTCACTCTTGACTGGGCTGAAGACAAAGCCAACCAGGACATCCAGTTCATATTTCCATTTACTTTCAGAGAGCTGAATGTGCTGAAGGAGGAAAAGTTCAGCTTGGTGGAACTTGTTCATCACTTCTTTACTGAAACCAAAGAAGCAGGAATCTGCAGCTTTGAAGACTTCCAGGTTGTGTTCATCTTTGATGGTCTGGATGAGTGTCGACTTCCTCTGGACTTCCACAAAACTACAATCCTAACTGACCCTTGCAAGTCCACTTCAGTGGAAGTACTGCTGATAAACCTCATCAGGGGGAAACTGCTTCCCTCTGCTCGCATCTGGATAACCACACGTCCTGCAGCAGCCAGTCAGATTCCTCCACACTGTGTTGGCATGGCGACAGAGATCAGAGGATTTACTGACCCACAGAAGGAGGAGTACTTCAGGAAGAGATTCAAAGATGAGGAACAGGCCAACAGAATCATCTCCCACATCAAGACATCACGAAGCCTCCACATCATGTGCCACATCCCAGTCTTCTGCTGGATCACTGCTACAGTTCTGGAGGATGTGCTGAAAACCAGAAGGGGAGGACAGATGCCCAAGACCCTGACTGAGATGTACATCCACTTCCTGGTGGTTCAAGCCAAAGTGAAGAAGGTCAAGTATGATGAAGGAGCTGAGACAGATCCACACTGGAGTCCAGAGAGCAGGAAAATGATTGATTCTCTGGGAAAACTGGCTTTTGATCAGCTGCAGAAAGGAAACTTGATCTTCTATGAATCAGACCTGACAGAGTGTGGCATCGATATCAGAGCAGCCTCAGTGTACTCAGGAGTATTCACACAGATCTTTAAAGAAGAGAGAGGACTGTACCAGGACAAGGTGTTCTGCTTCATCCATCTGAGTGTTCAGGAGTTTCTGGCTGCTCTTCATGTCCATCTGACCTTCATCAACTCTGGAGTCAATCTGCTGGAAGAACAACCTACATCGTCCTGGTGGTCAAATTTTTTTAATGCACCAAAACTACAGCATGTCCACCAGAGTGCTGTGGACAAGGCCTTACAGAGTCCAAATGGACACCTGGACTTGTTCCTCCGCTTCCTCCTGGGTCTTTCACTGCAGACCAATCAGACTCTCCTAAGAGGTCTTCTAACACAGACAGGAAATAGCTCACAGACCAATCAGGAAACATTCCAGTACATAAAAGAGAATCTCAGTGAGAATTTGTCTGCAGAGAAAAGCATCAATCTGTTCCACTGTCTGAATGAACTGAACGATTTTTCTCTAGTGGAGGAGATCCAACAGTACCTGACTTCAGGAAGTCTCTCCACTGGTAAACTGTCTCCTGCTCAGTGGTCAGCTCTGGTCTTCATCTTACTGTCATCAGAAAAAGATCTGGATGTGTTTGACCTGAAGAAATACTCTGCTTCAGAGGAGGCGCTTCTGAGGCTGCTGCCAGTGATCAAAGCCTCCAACAAAGCTCTGTAAGTACAATTGTACTCATCCATTTAACATCCAGTTGTGTCAGTAACTTATTTCTGACACATTTATTTGGCAAACAATAGCTTTTACTTGGGTGGCGTGTTGTGCATTAAACAAAGCATTTCCATTGTGACTTAGTTATAATCAAATTATTTGAATTACTCAGTGAATCATTGCAGCCATAGAATCATCCTTAGTTACACTTTATTAAACTTAGAATTCTGAGTGCTTCTTTGGATGTACTTAGAATTGCTTCTTCACTCACCTCTTTCCACTTTCTGTGTGTTCATGCACCACTGTTGAATGTAACTTACTAAAAAAATCCCTACAAAATCTGTCTACTGCACTGTGCCTTGGTCTTCCACATTGTGATTTTTGTTTGTATTTTGTTTGTTTTTTTGGCCCGTGCTTCCCCTCACTTCAAACTGGTTGAAGCAGATTGTCCAGCACCTCAGTTTATCCTCAATCTGAAACTAGCTGTTTTAGCTATTTAACCTTTAAACACGCCTCCCCTTGTCATCCCTCCTATTGTTGCCATAAAATTTAATCTTGATTTTAAAAATAAACAACCAAATAAAAAAACAACAACAACAACAACAAACAATCCAAGTCAGACTTCATGGCACCAAATTCTTAAGGTTTTGTCAGCCTTTGATGATAAACTGCACCACAATCTAAAACAGGTTTTCTCATCATTATTATTTTTTTCTTTTTTGAGCTTAATTAGGAGTTAAGCATTGATCTCAGTCTGTAGTTCAGCACCACTGAAAGAATAATAATTTCCTAACAGCTTATAAAACAAATGATCGGCATAGTTTTCCTCAGTGTGTTGCATACCTATTTTGTAGATTTATGCATCTATATTGTCTTCCTGTTCATCTTAGCCACACACAGAACAGCTCTTTTTGTTGCAATTGGATCTAGAACACAATTCAAATCAGGCAACATCTCCTAACCTGGGTGATTTTTAAAGTGGATTCTAGGAAGCAGAGTTAAAAATTGTCTTGAACTGCTTGTACGATGATAGCTGTCCTTTATGATAGCCTTGGTTGCCCCACATTGGTAGCCATGCAAGGTGGCTCTCTCCTTGGGCAAGAAGACCATCCAGTCTCACAGTTTTTTTTCCCCTTGTTGGCTGATGATGTTCATTTTGTTTGTTTTTTAGTTGACTTATAGTCATTCTCATCATTGTCTTCAAATTACAGACTCCTGACTGCTGCTATAGATTACCTAGCTTAACAGGTGACCCATTGTTTTGAAAGTTGAGTTGTGATTCCAGTGCCTGGGACTGAGTCTGCTCAAGACCATTTCCTCTGTGTCATTCTCCTCATTTCCCCCTCCCTCCCTGTCTTCTCTATCCTATACAGTGAAGACAAAAGTGAATACCTCAAGTTCTGAAAACTCTTCCCTTTCATCATCTTCCACATGATCTCTCTCATCTTTTTTTTTTTTCTTTTTTGCCTGTCCCATTTGGTTCTTTAGCCATCAGAATTGTTGTCTGAAGACCAACAAGGATACCCAATGGATTTACTTTGCCAAATGGATCATCGTGGCATTGCCGTATTGGTCCATTTGATCGACCTTTGTTTTTATTATTTATTATATTTTATTTTCAGATGTTACAGACGGG